CAAAAATTGTACATAATTTAATTGCAAAGATTTAAAGAAAGTCATTCAGTGGTTTGATGTGAAATGGTGTTGTAGAGAAACTTATTGACTAGATTTCTTGACAGTGCTGGTGAAAGGAACCAGGGGTCATAGTGTCCAAAGTGTAAATCTTGCCATTTTATTTACCTTACAGAATGACCAGTGAACCTTTATGTGTCTTCTGAGTTTTTACATATAATGTTGATATTAGTAAAATAGTAGTAAGTAAGTTTTCTTTGGGGGCTGTACTTCTGTTATGAATACATTTTTACATTTTAGACCAAAACTTAGAAACCTTGGTAAGCACTTTAGACTCACAACAGTGGTAAACAATGACATATTTGTGGCCAGGGGTGTTTGCTGGCCATGTAAAGATCTGGGGCTCATTTTTATGTACACTGTAAAAACTACTTTGGATTTTAAAAAAGTAAATAACTATAGAGTTAATAAATAACTCTTTTAAAATTTGAATGTTATTTTACTTCAAATAATAAGGTAACAGAAATAAAGACACATGATAACTCTTTTAATTTACTATTTGATGTTGACTGAACTTAATAGTCAAGTTAATAGTTTATATGTACATATATATAACTCTCTATTTCTCAATCTATGTTTCTCTCTCTGAGTTTGTGGAGGGGGTGAACATGCCCCTCTGTAACATTATAAGGTTAAAAAATATTCAGGACTATAGCTCCACAGGCCAGGCAAGGCAGCACCCCTGTTTGTAGCCATTTTATATAGTACTTTCTGCGAAGTAGCTTTGTCTGGTTCCTGTTAGCACCATGAAACAGTTCTGGCTTGGAAGGTTTCTATGGAATGGAGCATTTTACATCAAACCACTCTGAAGGACTTTGTTTACAACAGAAAAATTAAATCATCCAGAAATTTAGAAAAAATAGGTGGAATTCGTCTTTAAGGCAGTGTAGTTATTGAAGTCTACTGGAAAGCTAAGTGCTGTCTTCCATGACTCCAGCACACAGACATATCTCTTTTTACCATCTGTGCTTTGCAGGCCTAAGCGACTACTACGAACGTTCAAAGAGTACTGGTTTGTGTTCAGAGACACCAGCATTTCCTATTACAAAAACAAAGAGTCTGCCAGCGGGGAGCCCATTGAACAGCTCCATCTGCGAGGTGAGCATCACAGGCATTTAGAATGCATCTAAACGATCTCCTCTGTGGTTTAATATTAATGCATGTTGTTTGATTCCACACTGATCATGCAGGCTGTGAAGTCGTTCCAGATGTCAATGTGACAGAAAAGAAGTTTGGCATCAAACTTTTGCTGCCTGTTGCAGATGGAATGAACGAAGTGTATATTCGCTGTGACAATGTGAGTTGAGTAGTTTGGTCTGATTTCAGTCTAAATCTTTTGTGTAGATTTTTTACATTCGCCTCAGTAAACTATACATATGTGTGTCACCATTTAAACATTTCAGAAGTTCTGCAGCTTCATAATGTATCCGTGTATCTCCTTTCACACATTCTGTTTACATATTCATATTGCTTTTTAAAGGAGACACAGTATGCCAAGTGGAAAGCTGCATGCATCTTGGCTTCAAAAGGCAAGACGATGGCCTACAGTTCCTACAACACAGAGGTCAAGAACATCCAGTCTTTCCTGCAGATGAAGAGTTTGGCACCCCCACCTGGCCAGGTGGCACCTGACGTGGAGTCTATGGAGATGAATGCAGAATGCTTTGTGTCTCCACGATATGCCAAAAGATATAAGAACAAACAGGTAAAAAGGCTTTATCTTGAAGTGCTATGCCACAAGATTAGAGCCATGATATAAATAACTCTATAAAGCTGATTATGAAAATTACAGATGTGCACAGAAAACAAAAAAAAACCTTTGTGAACTTAGCCTCCAGGCTATATTTAAATGAACTGTTGCCTAACTGTGATTTATTGTCATGACTGGACATTCTGACATGAGTTTCTCCTGTGTTTTGGATTTCAGCTGTCTACACGAATCTTAGAGGCTCATCACAACATTTCCCAGCTTACTCTCATGGAGGCTAAAATGCGCTTCATACAGGCATGGCAGTCTCTGCCAGAGTTTGGCATCAAGTACTACATAGTCAGGTATGGGCTTTTTATCATTCTGCTAAACAGCTTATTACCCTTGCAGCCATCAAATAAACCACCGGAACTTATCCCTCTCCATTTAGTATGCATAGATCAATGCGATGATTTTTTTCATATTTGAGAACAATAAGATTGTAAGAATTTAAGTATAATATGAAAATATATATATATATATAAAAAAAATTAAAACTGTATCATCAGGATGCCCCTCTGTCTCATCAGAGCGTCTCTCATTTACTCCTCTTTCATGAAAAACACTGTCAATAATCAACTCTAAGCATGTCAGGCTAATATGAGACACGCATTCACACTCAAACAACTGGAGGTTTTTTTTCTAAAGTCACTTAGAGGTTGTAGGCATTAAGACTTTTTGGTTTATTTTGTTAGAGGCTTGAAAAAGGTTTATTTGAGAACTTTTATTCATCCGAGCCAAACTAATGTGTAGTGTATCATTAGAGGTCCGTAGGATAAACTATTAAAAATTTACCTGAATTCTGACCTCAGGATCAAAAATTGTACCTAAAATAGATAAGATAAGATAAGATAAGATAATCCTTTATTAATCCCACAACGGGGAAATTTGCGGTGTTACAGCAGCACAGAAGACAGAGCAGCAGGAAATATACAAACAATATATAAAATAGAATAAACAATAAAAGTATAAAGATATATATGTATATGTACAAAGATTACAAGAAAAATATACAAAGTATTAAATTTAAATTTAGAAATGTAGAAATGTATGTGTTAGACATATGTGTTGGACATATGGTTCTCTATGGTTCTTTAATCTTGTTGTAATCTCTTTTTGTATTAAACTACCTTGTGCTTTGTGTGCAAATAGATTCAAAGGGTGCAAGAAGGATGAGATACTGGGCATCTCTTACAACAGGCTAATTCGTATCGATATGTCCACGCGCCTGCCGGTGACCACGTGGAGATTCTCCAACATGAAACAGTGGAATGTAAACTGGGAGATCAGACAGGTGAGAAGAACTCTGCATGAGAAATCTCCTGGCTTTTATCAGATTTCAGAACTTTCAATATTTTCAGTACCCCAAAGCAGCTTCAAAACTTATAATAAAGAGCCTAGACTGTCATATCTCTTATAGAAATGCTTTGTTTCTCTTGTCTTATTTATGTTTTCTGTTCCAGGTGGCCATTGAATTTGACCAGAACGTGTCAGTAGCTTTCTGCTGCCAGAGCTGTGACTGTAGGGTGGTTCATGAATACATTGGAGGCTACATTTTCCTCTCAACACGCTCCAAAGATCAAAATGAAACACTAGATGAAGAACTGTTCCGCAAACTTACAGGGGGGCAAGAATGACCATGCAAACCATTGAGAAACTGAATTAGTATACAGCTGTGTGTCAGTTTCAGGTTTGCCTACAGATTTCAGTTCAAATGTAGCCCTTTCATCATGTCAGTTTTATGCTTGTTTGTTTACATTTTGTTGTTAGGAAGGTACACCTAATTTCAGCAAAAGCTTGAGCCACATGCTCACAAAGAAGACATCTGTGATGAAATGCCATGGTTAGGCTGGTGATGCATATAGGTATTTGCTTACTCTTGAGGATCATTTCCCAAGCTTCAGAATAGATTTCTTCCCAAGCCTCACAGTAAGACAGGTCACATTTGATGTGATATCACTGACATTTAATAGAATCATTCAGATTTATCTAAGTGCTCCAACTTTAGGACACAGGGAACCGCAGAGACCATGGCAACGGATCTTCCATCGAATGAGATCATTCTTTGCTTTCATTTTTAAGGATGACTTTTTTTCAAATAATGTTTGTTGTAATACATTTTTCAGGGAAATTCAGTTTACACTGTTACATTGTTCTGTGTTTGCTGAAGAATCAAAAAGGCAACCAAATATGAATGTTTGCTTTGTGTCTTAATAAAACCTGTCCGAAAAACATTGCAGAACATGATTTATATGGCCTGAAGTAGAATATTAAACTAATTGTGATTAATTATGAATATATTTCAGATGCAGTCTTGTTTATGGTTATATCCGAAAGTACTACTATTTATGTTGCGTAATTCAGTTTTCTTAGCAGTATTTGGCACTTACTCTGTCACTGTTACTATACTTTTCGTATTCAGCTATTTGTATTCATGGGCTATATATGAAACTCATGTTTAGAGTGAGACTGAAATGTACATGTGAAAAGTATAAAATATTTTCACTAAAACATTAATGAGATGAATAAGCCTATTATGTTCTTGTGTGCTCTGAAAATCGACAGAACAGCATATCTATGCTAATTATTATTTTATTAGCTTTCCACTGGGGTAGAAAAACAGTACATTAAAAAGCGATACTGATGTGAAAATATGGCTACTGTATCAAAGAAAATTGTATTCAAGTAAAAGTGAAATTATGGAACCGAAATATGTTTGAATAGAAGTAATTTAACATTCTCCCGTATATTAAAGTAAAATAGTAGGTTAAATGCGTTTTCTGTTTGGTGGTATATGGCCTTTGCACAAAGGTAAATTAACATATATATATATTATATATATCATACATATATATATATATATATATATATAGTATTATTTCCATCCTGATATACGAATCTGGTTAAATGTTTAATAAAAACAATAAATTCACATGTACAGCAAGTACACTGATGGAGAGAAATGTTTGGCTTTTGCGATTCGTACTTTATACTTTGAATGTCTAAATAAAAATGCGAGGAGTAGATTTTTTCGATTTGAATATAATTGAGTAAAATTGTAAGTTTTTGATTTAATAATGCTCTACTAAAGTGCAAATCCACCGTGACTTTTATTTTATTAAAAATGTCCACAGCGGTGCACAGTCGTTGATCGTTGAGCAGTGATCTGTGAACAGCTACTCTTCCTAGCTGTGTTGCGGGGCGCTTTGGATCGATTAGTAATCCTACGGTTAGGGAAGACGCTGGCGTACACGTGGGGAAACACGGACACCCGGTTTATGTCGTTTCTCTCTGTCGGCTTTTTGGTGTTTGTCTCGTTCACTGAAAGCGGCTGAAGCTGAAACATTCGCGCACAGATAGGCCACCCAGTCTGTGAGCTGTAGAAATGGCGGACCCGGCGGTGGACAGCGATGAGGAGAGCAGGATAAGTGAAGGGGACTATGTAGTTCTGAAGAGAGCAGACGTCTACAAATCCGTGCAGATTGAGAAAAGAAAGTGAGTTATGTTGTCGTTTTGCACAGGGCCTGAGGTCATTCCTGACCTGGAAACAGCTAGTTTGGTGTCTAACTTGCTGTGTTTTTCTCGTCTAGTTAGTCCTGCTAGCTAGCTAAGCTAACTAGCTTGCTCTGGCATTTAATGAACGTCCAAACCAAACCTGGCTACCTTCTTTGTAGAATGATCTCTTAAAAGAGAATACTGTTGTAGTACTACCTAGCGAAGTCTGTGACTCCAGTTAGTTTAAAATGTGAGAATGTTGTGGCGAACTATAGATTTATGATGATGTCCATCAAGGTAGTCAAAGAAGATGATAAATACAACAGTTGTAACGTTATTTCTCAGTGAGGATGCTCATGTTCAAGGCTACACGTAACTGCTTAACTAGAAGGCGTTGTAAACCTCCTGATCTAACCCAAGGACATACTGTACGCCACTTAAAGGGCAATGCCACCATTTTTTAAAGATTTCTGAATAAATCAGTCCTTGAGATGTAAATAGTCATTCCCTGTTGGTATAGTGTAGTGGCTAACACCTCTGCCTTCTACGCTGTAGACTGGGGTTCAAACCCCACCTTGGTAAACACCCTACACTATACCAATAAGAGTCCTTGGGCAAGACTCCTAACACTACCTTCACCTACCTGTGTAAAATGATCAAATTTGTAAGTCGGATAAGAGCGTCTGCCAAATGCCGTAAATGTCATTCAGAGTGGTTTGATGTGAAGTGGTTCATTGTAGAGACTCAGATTTCTTGACAGTGGTGGTGATAGGAATGAGAAGGCACAATGTCTACAGCACTAATGGAGCCATATTATCTGCCATCCAGGTCCATCAGTGAGCCTACACATCATATGTAATTTCTATGATGGTAAAATAGTCATAAACCTGAAAAATAAGTTTTCTTTGGGGACTATTTTGCCCCTCCTCCTCTTTGGATGAATTCAAATTTATAGATTAATAATATTTTAAGCAAAAACTATCATAAAACAATGTGTCAGACATCAAGCAGCATACATCTAACCATTTCGTGTGATAACTTTCTGTGAGGGAGCTTTCAGAGGCATTAAACTCTTCAGACGTCTGGTTCCTATCACAACCACTGTGAACACTTGGCAAATTTCTCAAGTTAACATCTCTACAGAAAGCACTGACTTATTAACATTAAGACTATGAACACTGATCAGTTGTGCTCCTACTTAAAACGACTTCTGAAAACTGGGGGTGCAACAGCATGGCAGTTCTGGGCCAATGCCAATATACTTATGCATAAACATCTGTCAGTGCTGAGGCCAATATGAGCACTTCTTACATGGTATAGAAATTGGGACTAGATCTACCCAGATGATCTGCATTACAGTGAAATGTAACATTTGTATAGGACTAAAAGTACAGTAAAATAAATATAACCGTTCTGGATTGTTTTCCTTTCTCAGGAAAGTAATTTTTGAGAAGCAGTGGCTGTTCATGGACAACGCCATTGGGGAGCTGTATGGCTCCACATTTGAAGTGGACGGTGGTGGGAAGCTGACTTTGCGAAAACCAAACAACACAGAAGACCCCACAGGTGAAGGAGAGATATAGCCTGTACATATTTTACATTACCATTAATCTGTGGCATTATAATGGGCCATATATGGTTGATGTTCTTTCTTTCTAAACAGACACTAAAGGAGCAGGCTTGGATAACAGACACATTGTAGATGATGGCAAATCACAGAAACTGACCCGAGATGACATTGAATCACTGAAAGAGCAAGGATTGAAAGGCCAGGTATATATTCCTCTTAAACAGTGATCATACTGATAAATAATCATTTAGTTTTACATTTTTTTTGCGTTGTTTTGAATTTATATTGTGTTCATTTCAACTCTCTGCTTTAGGAAATTATCCAGCAGCTTATAGACAACAGTACAACATTCAGGGATAAAACTGAATTTGCTCAGGAGAAATACATCAAGAAGAAAAAGAAGAAGTAAGTAGAATTGATGTCATTTCTTTCTTGATAAGCAGCACATGTAGTTTCCTTATTTGTATTTATTTAAAGTACATAATATGTCCGCAGGTATGAAAGCAAAATAACAGTACTGAAGCCTACCTCCCGTATTCTTGCCATGATGTACCATGGCAGAGAACCCGGAAAAGTATGGTATGTCATCAGCTGTATAGCTGCTGCTCCATTACTGGTATTGCTCTTATGGGCACAACTGTCTTTATTAATAAAACAAAACTTAAACCTAATTTCTTGACTCTGTTCTTGACCCAACAAAGCTGTGCTGCGCAGTACAGGTTATAACATTACTACAGAGATATTTCTTGAAATTCTTGGTTATTTCTGTCTTTCCAGATTTTGTCTGAATAATAATTCTGTTCTTGTTGCAGTCACTTGCGATACGACACCTTAGCTCAGATGCTCACCATGGGAAACATCCATGCAGGCAGTAAGATCATTGTGTTTGAGACCTGTGCTGGTCTCGTTCTCGGCTCTGTTATGGAGAGAATGGGAGGTATGAGTATGTTTCATGTAACTGATAATGCCAGAAAAATGCTTCATTGTGCTCTTCATAAAACCAAAATGGATACCGTAGTGTGAATACATTAGGTATCCGTACTGTCTATACTACATATAACAAAGTATATGAAATGCAACTCTCCTACTTGCTTTCGGTCTCCTGCTCTCATTCTTGTTCTCTCTTCCAGGCCATGGCTCCGTGATCCAGTTGTATCCAGGTGGAGGTCCAGTCAGAGCTGGCATGGAGAGCTTTGGCTTCCCTTCACACTTTCACAACACACTACATGAGTTTCCTTTGTGTAAAGTGAATGCACTGCTGTCAGGAACACTGAACGTCGATGAGAAAGACATGGACTCTCAGAGCAACGGCAGATCGGATGAGCAGTGTAGCTCCTCTCAGGTATCCACGGGCGAGGGTGATGAGAGCAGCTCAGAGCCACAGAAGATGGAGGTGAGCGCAGACCCAGCCGAGGCCAAAAAGAAAGAGGACAGGGAGAAGTCGCGGGAGCAAAAGGTGAGCTTGGACAACCTCTAATATGCATAAAAAGTTTGAAATTTTAAAGTTATGCTGCTTAGATTAAGGGTTTCCTCTCCTATCTGCAATGGGCTGATGTGGCTGCAGGTTTTTTTTTTATTACAAACAAGCAGGAGAACAACTGGTGTTACTTGTTTAATCTATTGGTCTGTCTTCAAACCACTGATTATTTGTGGTTCTGCTTTGCTGGAATGAAAACCTGCAACCGCACTGGTCCTTTGCTGTTCAGATTGGACGCCCCGACTTAGACCTAATTGTGTCTGAAATTTTAGTCTAAACTCATGGATGACTTCAGATAAAGTTATGCCAATTAGTCAGCCCAGTTTTTGATACCAAACCCACTCCAACAAAATTCTGTTCATAGGTGGCTTGGCTTGCCGAGGGGTTACGCAGAGAAAATGACTGCTGTTATCAATGCCACCTACTCTGATTTACCAAGACTGATAGTACATACTGACTGTGCATTATTTATCGTCTATGAAAACCTTGTTCTATTTTAGGCACTAACATGAGTGTCATTGTTTGTTCTCAGAGAGAAAGACAGTTTTTCAAATACATTTATTTTTGATGAATGTCTGCTTGTAAGCATCTGCTGTGCATTCCACATTACTCTTAATTAGATGAAGGAACTAAAAACCAGACAAAATAGTTTTAAACTGCTTTTTTAATAGCTTTGGTATATTTTACAGCACTATTAAAGAGCAGATTTTACTTACATAATGATCTGTTTTCTTTTTCAAATGATGAAGTCTGTTGCCCTGCAATCCCTGCTTTACTAAAGCTATTCATTACTTTGTTATTCCTGCTGTGGCTTCTGTACGCTGTACTTTATGTTGTGAATGGCAAAAATGTCACAGACGTTATTTGATGTACTGCATGTAGCTAAGAGTCTCAAACAACCTGGGTGCGCTCAAGGAAATTAAACAAAGATTTTACAGTATTGCATGGTTTCCAAATGCACTTGGCACAGAACTCAAGTTCAGCTCATCCCTCCAGCCAAAAACAAACATGTGTTTCAGAAATGAAATGTAAAAATGAGTCACAGTTTAAGCTTGAAACAAAGTAGAATTCAAAATCACTTTTTATCTTACCTAGCGGAAACAACTTTCACATCCCCTCTGCGCTCATTGTAAAAGTATCTGGATAACTTTTGACTGTATTAGGTGTTGTTCTTATGCCGACACCAGCCATGACTGACTCAAGTGTGCACGATTTTAAATAAATAAATAAAATAAAACTTATTTAAATAAAATATGAAGGTAGAAAATACAGGCCAAAATTTAGTAAGATCGCAAGATGTGAAACCTGAATGTGAAATCTGAGCCTGACATATTTGAGGAATGATGTTTGAGCCTAACATGGACCATTGTTAAAGCTTTGAGTAAGTTTACATTCATCCAATGAAATAAATGATTTTTGAAGCACTGAAAGAACCACAGAGCTGTCAGTAATCTGCTTTTTTATTCGTCGCTGGGGACTTTACTCATGCTAATCTTAAGGGAGTGCTGCCTATATTCTATCGGCATGTTGATTTTGCGATGTATGGAGTAAACATATTGGGCCATGTTTACACCAACATTCACAGCTAAATAAGGCTACACCCTGCCGCTACCTCTGCTGCTCAGACAATGTCTCTGTTTTGCTAATTGTAGCAAACAATCCTTTGTTCAAGCATGCTAAAACGGTGCTGAAACTGGTGAGGACCTGGTGTTGGGGAACCATCTCAGCTTTCTGGGACTGTTTTGAGTGCAGAGACTGCATCATTATCAAGGAGGTTGCTAAATGTAATGATTCAACTGATTTGCAGGTATATAGAGCATCTGTGATTGGCTACATTCGAAAGTGCTTAGATTATGAGATTTCCCCATACGCTAACCAGAAGCCACGGAAGACTGCAGGGGCGCCAAAAACCCAGAATGCTGCCATGAGATTAGACAAGAAGGTAGCCCCTGGCACAGCAAGATCCAACCTGTCCTGGGCTATCGGAGACATGGAGTTCAACTTTGCACAGAGAATCCATGGATAATTTCTAGACACCAGAGAAACATGACATATGTGTCAGGGCATTCAGGCCATCACTGACTACAAATTGACCTTACGTGTCTGTGAAGCCTCACTCCCAGGTGCGTTAAACAATTTCTATGTGTGGTTTGAAGCACAGAACAAGGAGCTACCAAGGATGGCCACCCCTCCTTCCACCGACCAAGTACTTTTTCTGCCCACAGTACACGTTAAGACAACCCTTTCCAGAGATGACCCAACATTGTGTACATTGTACACAAATGCTGTTTAAAAGTTTACAGTTCTATGTTATTTTAGTATTTTTTATTTTATCCATTATTATCTTATTTCATATAGATAGGCACCAAAGCATATTTATAGATGTTTATTCTGCATTTAAGTACAAATACTTTAGGAACAAAGACAAAGAACTGATAAGTAACGTGACAAATTATAGTAATGAACAATGAAAAAGATAATATACTATAATTTGCATTTGACAAATTATTATTGAGAATAAAAAATGTAAATTTTCTTCCTTGTGATTTGTTAATTTTTCAAGTTGGTGTTCTGGAAATTAATTTTATAAGAATTTAATTCTCAATGTCCTGCAGTGTTTCCAGTCATTATAAAATCACCTTCAGCTCTGCTCGTTGTTCAAAAAAAAAAAAGAAAGAAAAACAAAAAAACAACAAATACGAAACATTCCAGCCTGTATAGTGGACACAGTCCTGCCCCGGTGAATACCCTTTGGGACAGTGCTTGTATAATTGAAGCATCGGGCAAGGAGTGAGATCAGTTTTGTCTATTTCATCCATAATCAAACCCTTCATTGAATAAAAGAATGGAAACGTAACAGGAATTAATGAAGATCTATCATTTTTAGAGACTGTAAATGAAACTGTTATTCTACAATAAGGTTGATACGTTGTCACAGATTCAGGGTTAGTCACGTTGTATGTTTGGTGGGGTTACCTCACTGCTGGCTTTTCCAAAATACTGATTAAAACCCATTTTCATCCCTTCCTGTGTACATTTATAATTTGGGTTCCTTAAACCATTGGTTCTTCTGTTTTTGCTGTGACCCCGTCCTCTTGATTCCCCCTGACACACACTAAAAGGTAAAATAAAGAAGAACCTTATCTTTTTCAAAGGGGAATTCTGTAGATTCATTCAAAGGGGTTTGATGTGAAATTGTGCATTGTAGAGAAATATAGCAAAAATGGCAATATAGAGGAAAGTAGATTTGGCGCTCTGATTGTTAGTGCTGATGTTAACCTGGGGTGCTCTTTCTTTGGCAGAGAGTGAGGATGGAAGAGAAGAGAAAGAGGCTTGCTGCGGCTGCTGCCCTGCTCGAGGGCCGAAATGCAGATGGGTAAGTTTTACTCTTGTGGTCCTGTAGATCCAGGCAGTGCTTTTGGCTTATTAAAACAGTATGAAATGGTTTATATCTCAGTGTGATGGATTTTGGCATGTGGAGATGGGGAGAAAGCCTTATTTGTGAATTATTGTTGCCAGTATGGCAGTAGTTCATGAGGACAGTGAAGTTCTGGCCCTACAAATTATTGTAGCCAGTCATGATCAGGAACACGTTTTTTATGGATCTGTAGTCATTTTTCAGTGATACAGACTACTAGGGTTTTCACGGTGCCACAATGTCACAGTTAGTCACAGCATGCAATTGGATGGTTACCCTTCCATTGACTTTTCTAAAATACTGAATAAAACGCATTCCCATCTTTGACCATGTATGAATTACAGTTCCTTAAACCAGTGGTTGTTGGTCTGATTTTGCAGTGACCCCTTTCATCTCAACTCTGAGCGGCCTTTTTCATGGTGTTTGCACGCAGCGGCTACCAAACATACAGAAAACACAGAATCAGCCATTAATAAATCCAAAAAAAGACTTTTCAAACATATAAACCTATAGCGCTTTTGCAACTCAGTCATTTTAAACAAAACATCACATGATGTTCATTAACCTTAAAGTGAAGTTAGCTGCTTGTCTAGGAGTTGCAAACTGACAGCGAGTGCACTTAGCTTGCGCCTTTACTCATGCAGCTGCTTGCAATGACAACAGGATATCATCAGACTGGAAGATTTAGGCTGCGTTCACATTACAAGCCTCATTGCTCAAATAAGATTTTTTGCCCAAATCCAATCTCTATGACATGATGGTTCACAATCATTTAGGTATGTGATTCAAATCTGTCATTAATGTGAACGAACCGGTGTCCTGAAATGACCCGCATGCGCACATCCCGCTCAGTAACATCACACGAATGAATGGCGTATGTCGTGCATCATCAGCAAACAAACTAATGGGCCGAACGAGCCCTCACTGTGAAGATAATTAGCTCTGATAAGCTCTCAGCTGTTCATTATTAGAGCAAGACGAAGACGAAAAAGGATGAGATGTATTGCTTTTCTATGGTTAACAGGCTTTAACTTCTGTTCGGTGCTGTTGCCGTGGTAATGCTGAATGATGGCGCACGCGCAGTGGTAAAACAGCACATGAATTCCGATCTGAGAGTTCACATTAAGGTCGCATGGCCACGATTCGCGTATGTATCCGATCTAGGAACATATATGAAAGTGGCTCAGGTCAGATTTGAAAAGATCAGATTTGCGCGTCCAGATAGCCCTGAAAACATCAGATCTGAGTCACATTAGGGCAAAAAATTGGATTTGTGCCACTTCAGCCTGGTAATGTGAACGTAGTCTTATTGTCAAAGCCATTCTCAAAAATATGTTGTCATAAATGCTACATGTACTAAGTAAGCCTTCTTTCCTTACAAGTTTATCATTGTAGATTTGGAAACATCTCAGATTACAGTCTTAGGGCACGGTATAGGTCAACAAGGCTGGTGGCAGCCTTTCAGCCTTGCTTCCACAAGTCTATCTGTGTTTGGTTGTCATTTAAAGGTAGAAAAAAACACTATGCTCTTCTCTATTCTTAATAAAGTACTCATGATCAGAGTGGAATATTCTGCTGACTTTAGACACCTCTATGAGGTATGATAAGATCAACAACGCCTCTTATCTCTTCTCATGTTATCAATTTATTGGCTGTTATTCTGTTATGTGAACACTTGGTTTGCCAGACCTTTAAAATATGTAAAGCGTGCAGTGCTGAACGGAATGAATTAACTGCTGAATGGTTTGTTTACTATAGGTTAGTGATTGCCAGCCGCTTCCACCCCTGTCCTGTGCTGCTGGGCTTGTTGAAGTTTGTGGCACCATCTAGACCATTTGTAGTTTATTGCCAATACAGAGAGGTACTAGTAATGAAGTTTCTGCCACTTTCCAAAATAGTCAATACATACTGCATTACAAAACCTGATGATTGAAGTGTAATATTTGCCTTTTTGTTTTTGCTAGCCATTAATTGAATGCTATACAAAGCTCAGGGAGCAAGGTGGAGCAGTCAGTCTAAGACTGACAGATTCCTGGCTCAGGCATTACCAGGTGATTTGCTTTATGATTTTCCTCAGGATACAGTACCGTTTTATGTCATTGCTGATATACACACACACAGTCACACAGTTTAAGTTGTATTTTAAGGACAGAAAAATTATCTTTATTTAACTGTGAATATGATTAAAAAAATACCTTTTTTTTAACTAAGGATTCTAAAGATTGCCATTGCTCATTTAATGTGTTATGTTTGAATGAGAACATTTGTCATTTTTTTTCTAAAGTTTCCTAAACTTTTTTGGCTCCAGGTGTTACCCAATAGAACCCATCCAGTGCTGCTGATGAGTGGGGGAGGAGGTTATCTACTCTCTGGAATCACGGTCAGTGCTGATGCTGCTGCCACATCAGGAGCTCAGCAAAAATCAGGCGAGCCAGCTGCAAAGAGGATCAAACTAGATGAGATTAAGAGCACGAGTGACAGTTCTGCCTAGGCCTTCTGTTCGGTCTAACTTATTTTAGTATGAATAAACCAAATTAGCCTCTCTCCTTGGAGAAATCCTATATAACTAAGTTGCTTTGCTTTACTGTACAAAGTCTGTTATTTTAACCTTGTTTCCCCAGAGCCAGTCTTTCACCAAGCAGCACAGGGCTTTTCACATCATGCTTTTTTATTTTGTATAAGCACAAAGTGCCAATTAGGAAGCAACTTCCACTTTGTCATCTAATGAGTATCTGATGAATTGCATTAGTGTGATCATGGTCAATAAAATGCTATTCGAATGGAAAAATATCTGCCTGTTTTCTTCATTGTTTAGCCATAAACCAAAGATTAAAACACTTGACCGCTTGTTTTGGTCCCATCATAACACATTTTATTAAATGCACACAACAATGCAAACTTAAGAATATTTAAGTAGTTATACAGAATGAACAATAAAAACTTTTATTAAACTATCATCAAATAGACAGCATGCTTTTGGGTTTTAACATCAAATTCCACAAGTATGTAAGATGCACAATAATAAACAGGCATATTTTTGTGCTTTTTGTTCATTCCAAAAGGTTGACCTACTTAATACTTAAGCCATTCAGTAATGCAAATATCTAAAATAAGGCCTCCACTATCAATAATGCTTCACATAAAAAAACATTAACATGGTCCAGTGCTATAAGCAAACTTTTTAGATATTTTTTTTTAAACACAGAGTTAAAATGCATGAATTAATCCATAAGCAGCCCAAAGCAGCAACACACACAGCCTCTGGAAGGTCATAATAAGGAATGTTAACTGATGCCTCTTGTCTGGTTGGCTGGTTCGCTTCTGAATCTGCAGTTGTTTAATCTAGGTGCTTTAGTTGTTGGTCCATTGAGGCCAATTTCTCCAGTTCTTTTAACTGAGGGGAAAAAGAGAAAAAGAAAAATTACTAGCACGTTCATTTGATCATAGCAATTATAGCTTTTCTTAAAAGGTGAAACGCAAAGAACGTCTGGAAAATGCAGCCATTGTTTAAGAACAGAATGTCTCCCGTTTGCCATGTTTTTTCCTCAGTGCAACATCCATTGCAAAAGTCCCAAGTGGTGGGAAAGTGCCTGAAGCTATACAACAGTCCTGTCAGGATGAGAAATTATACTATAAGCCAGCTGTGGAGTCCAGCCATCTATCCTTGCCATTAAATCTTTGGAGAACCGGCCACACAGTATGATCGAGGGGCTGCACAGGTTGGCAGTGGGAGAAGGGATGATAACTCTAGTGTCATTTTAATAGGGATGGTTTGACACAAACCCCTCGCTGGGGAGCCGTTGACGCTGGGATATAATTAATGATTTTTGGTGCAGTCGGCACTGCAAGCTGTCCTGGAAAGGGAATGGCTTCCCACAGTGCTCTCGTTTTTCCTTGGATTTATCAGTTTCATACAAAGACTCACCCAGCACAGCTTCATGTCCCACTTTAAGCGGTAGTGCTTTGTTTACTCTGCTCTACCCTTTGAAGCTCTAAAGCACCCTTTGCAAAATTATTAATGATTTTGTCAAGTTTTTTTTTGCAGGCTCGCAAGGTGTTGATATCTAGGCCAAAGTTTATAAACATAGTTTTATACATTTGATAAATTCCGTACAAGTGGTAAAAGCCTGTATGGAGTCTGTTGACATATTCCTGCTGGAGGAATTCTGGGAAATTGTTTATATTCATAGTCATTTTATCCCATTTCGTTGTGGCTCAGTAATAGTAAAAAAAGGAAAAGAAAAACTTATCTAAAAACTTATCTAAACTTAACTTATTAATGTAAGTTACTATTATTCCATTGATTATGGAAATATTCGCACAATGAAAGGGGCAACTAGTGTTTTCAGTTCATATGAAAAAAATGACAAAAATGATGACACAAGGGATTGTCCCTTCAGCAAAGTTGATTGATTTTGGGTGAGTCACTTATAAAATATGTGCTTACCTCATCTGGAGTAAGAGCCCTCTGATGTGGTCCAGCCTTTTCTCCCTCAGATGAATCTTTTTCAGACAGGAGACCCCGCTTGTATCGGATGGTGTTGGCAAGCTCCTCTAGTTTCTGTGAAGGATGCACACCTGCCAATCCCTCATTTTCCTCGGAATTCCGCTTGTACCAGGCTGGATGATAGTAGCCTCGATAAATCCAGGGATTGCGCTTCCCATAAACTTCACCCTGTTTCAACAGACGCTCCTCCAACTCATTCTTCTTCTTAGTCAGGTATCTCAGTGCTGCCTCCTTCTCTTGCTTCTCCTCTTCTGAAGCAGTGTGGTGCCTTTTCTCCTCCTCTTGGCTGGGCAAATGGTGTTTGTTTTCGCTTATCTCACGAGCAATTAGCTCCTCCTCTTCTTCTTCAGGTGAATGGTGCTTGAGGGTCTCTTCCAGTGGGTCGTAGAGATGGTGCCTTTTCTCATCTTTGTTTGTCTCATCTTCATTCCCACCACGCTCGTGGTAGTGCTTACTGTGGTGGATCCTTTTTTCCCTATCTTCACTCTCTTCAGTGTCCTCATATCTCTTCTCAGGTGGCTGCTCATCAGAATCCTCCTCAGATGATTCTCCACTACGTTTGTGATATCTTTGGTGTTGGAACCAGTGACTGGGCCACCAGGCCCTCTTCTCTCTCTCCTCACTTTCCATGTCTTCGGACTCTTCTTCAGAAGCATCACCATCTCTTTTGTGATGTCTCCGCTGGTGGTGTTTATCAGGCCTCCAGTGTCGTTTAGCCCTCTCTTCTTCTTCTTCTTCCACTGATTGCTCCGACCTCTTCTCTTGAGAGCTCAGTCCGGCAAGATCTTCATCCGATGAGTCATCGTCCCGCTTGTGGTGCAGCTTTTTGTGATGGTACCTGTGAGAAGGCTTCCAGATTCGTTTCTCTCTCTCTTCACTCTCCTCATCTTCCTCGTGATGCCTTTTGTGGTTAAAACTTGGGAACTCTTCCTGGCTTCGGTCGTAGTCCGGTTCATCGCGCTTTTCCTTGCTTGTTAGGAGATGGTGCCTTTTTTGCTCGTAGGCTGGAAATTCTTCTTGGCTTCGCTCCTCATCTTCATCCTCGCGTTTCTCTTTGGTGTAGAGAAAGTGGTGCCTCTTTTGAGGGAATTCCTCTTGGCTCCTCTCATCTTCTGGGTCTTCACGTTTTTCCTTGCTTGTTAGAAGATGGTATCTTTTGTAATAATTTGGGAATTCCTCCTGGCTCCGTTCCTCATCCGTGTCCTCGCGTTTTTCCTCCTTTGTCTTGAGAAGCTCATCAATGGCTTCCTCTGCCCTGTCATCATGTCTCTTCTCCTCTTGCTCTGGAGGCAGAACATCTTCCTCACCTTTTTTCACAGGTGAAGAGTGAGTGGAACCTGTATGAAGATCCAGAATAATGAGTACTATGTACAGTCTATTCAGACCTGTACTGTATGCATAAAGTTCCAAACTTACGATTAAAAAAACATGCAACAACTTCTTTAGTCTCCTAAGATTCCATTTTTAGAGAACGCAGCAAACTATCAAGATGAAACAACGTAAGAGTTACTTGCCTGCCTTAAGAATTTCTTTACATTCCGGTTGCAGTGGAGTGGCATCTTGTTTGGACAGTGCCTTAGAAATGATCTGGACCAAACAGTGGGTGAGCTAAAATGAAAGGTGGATATTTTATTATTTTAGGGAAATGCTTTTGTCTTTAGTGTTCGGATATTATATTAACAGAGACAATTTGAGGCATACCAGGTTTTCCCTTCTACCATCTTGTCCAACTGGCAATGACTTGTTGTCTGTGATTTTCAACAAAGAGTTTGTTAGAGTGAGTTAGAGTTCAAGATTAGTTTCAGCAAGATTCACTGGTTTAGTAACGTGCTATAATGACCACATTTGCAGAACTCGCAATCAGGAAATCAGCCTTTAGAGAAGAACAAAGTAGCCGCTTCACTGCTGAATGTGTAAAGCAGGGGTGTCACCTTATCTGCAGAGGGCCGGTGTGGCTGCAGGTATTCACTCCAACAAAGCAGGAGGTCAACTGATGAAATGTTTAAAGACTAACACCAACTGAATAAACAAATAGAATCAGGTGTGCTTCAGCTTGTTTGGATTGAAAAACCTGCAGCCACACTGGCCCTTTGCTAAAATTGGACACCCCTGGTGTAAAGGGTCAAGATATGGTCAGAAAATACATACAAAAATACTGTAAGGACCAGCAGCACATGCTATAACTGTTATTTTGCCTGTTGATGATAATGCAGAATATCGCTGTCCAAAGAAAAACATGTCTCCATTTTTGCTGATTTTTAGTTTTCTGCATCATCTGAACACAGCAGCTGCCCCTGCTGTTTAAAATTTAATAATGAATGGACCAACAGAAATGCTCCAAAATAGCTTGGACTAAAATCTCTTTACATTAACTTACATTAAAAGTAAATAACATTTTGCCTTCTCCTGTATATGTGTATATATATATATATATATATATATATATATATATATATATATATATATATATATATATATATAAAATACACATAATATACAGGATTTATATATAATGATAGCTTTACAGGAGAAGGAAACAACATACTTTACCTTTAATGTAAGTCAATGGAACCAAACTTTTTCTTTTGGTCCATTCTTCATTAAATTTACACACAATGTAAAGGGCAACAGACATTTTCAAACTATGTCAGACACTGAAAAACAACAAAAAATGGAGATACAATGTTTTGGTCTGACAGCAGCAATGTATACATATATCGTTGCTGTCCAAAGAAAACTCTGGATCTCCATTTATGTTGATTTTTATTTTTCTACATCACTTCAACACACCAGCTGTCCTTTTTATGTTGTGTAAAATCTTATGATGAATGGACCAATATAAATGCTCTAAAATCACTTGGAATAAAATATCTTTACATTGACTTACACCCAACCCTAACTAGACTGACTTACACTGAAAGGTAAGAATTGTCTTCTTCTGTGAAGTTACTGTTTTGGAGATACTTGTTTTTCTTTGGACAGCGACGATATATACAGTAACGTGTTATAACGACCACATCTGCATAACTCACAATGAGGGAATCAGCATCACTGCTGAGTTGTCTATAGGATATAAAAATATAGATATATATCCTAGATATAGATATATATATATAGACATAAATATAGGTATAGATATACTATAACCGCAACGCGAACCAAACGGCTTTAGAAATGACTGGGTTTCGCACTGCTTCAAAGTGTCGTGCCGCTGACCATGGTGCTGAAATTTGCGCTATCGCCTGTGTAGTAGTGAAATGAAAAAAGGAAAAATC